ACATTGCGAATTTCTCCATTCGCCGAGAAATCAGGAAATTGTCAGACTAGTTTTTATTCTGCAAGCCTTGAGTATTTTTTTCTTTCTTTCACTTTGTTGCATTTTCATTTTCTCAATTTGTTTAACACTGAGGCTCTGTCTGACTTCTTTAATCTTCAAATTAAACACTAACCTGTAAGTGCGATAGCGATTCTCGTTTTCATTCCACCAAAAGAGTATCGTTCTTGACATCAGTCTCTGCACACCCACCCCTCTGAGGTGATGGTGGGGAAAGGGAGACCACACACACACACCCCAAACCCGGTTTCCCCCAGACACTCAGCTCTGTCTGATATCCTACTCATTAATCACTCTTGTTTATTTTTTTTGGTATGTCAATAATTAACATAGTAAGATTGATTAATAATTAAGTAGTAAGAAGAAACAGGCAGTATCATTTCTGTGTTTTGTTTAATCTGATTTATTATTTGAAAACCTTTTTAAATATATCAAATTCTATTAAAAACATCCATGTATGAATGATGGGTGATGGTTAATGAGAGTGTGATTCCTCCTGGACTTCATTCAAGAGCTCGTCCACCCTGCTGCAAGAAAATACAAAAAAAACGTAGACGTTGAATTTGTACAAGTATCTGCGTCCTACAGGCAGTCTGACTGAGCCACAGCAGACAGGGACATGGGTACACATGCTGATCCGTTTGCAAGTGTATTAATCCTTTCAAAATGAAACGCCACAGTTTAGTTTACTGGAAACTCATCTCTTCTCCAACTGCCTCCTGCTCCCAGCACTGATCTGCAGAGGCTAAAGTCTACCAGCTATGACTTGTTAAACCTGGAGTCTCCAATCCAGCAGGAATTTTATAGTGAACCATTAAGAGACCTGTAATCAGCTAAATGGCATCATCAAGAGATGAGATAAAAAGAATATCATTCAGCCTCCAAAGACCACGGTTCCTCAACTGAACAATATTACTCACTGATGAATAACACACAAAGCCTTCCCCTTCTTAAAGATATGTAAAGTCTCTCCGGAATGGGATAGTGACAGAGACACAGCAGAGCATTCAAACTTGTAGAAAAAAACAATTAACTGTTATTCTGATTTCCTATATGCCCTCCCTCCTTCTGTATATTTTAGATACAAGTGAAAAGGGGGGTACTGTCAGGCATGTGAGTCCATAAAGCAGGAAATCCCTGCCCTTCTCCAGA